TATGTTTTTTATTTGTTTTCCAAACTAATGTCATCAACCTTGAAACAGATCACATTGAGAAATTTGGGGGCCAGCATTTAGGGAGAGTTGTAAAACTAGCTTTGTGTTCTCCACATTCTTCTGGGTTAATGACCTTGTTGTCCAGGCTGCATTAAGCCCTAAATTTCAATAGCTTATTTGAAAGCATACAATAAAGTTTAAATCACAGCATCAATGCCTAAGTCCTTTACAATGTGTCCTTTTGATGAAACATGGGGAGATTCTGATACATTGCTGAGTTCCTAATCCCAGTTGTGAGATTGGATCCCTTTCCCAATTGTGAGTCACTATGTTTGTTACTATAATATTAATAAAGAAAATAGTTAAGTTAATCTTAGAATATATGCTAGATTCAATAACTATTCATAGTATTCTGAGGGTGCTTGATGTGCCGCAGTAATGTGGGCTGACTGGTCTGATGATGTACTTAACTCTTGGTTCTACTGTCAAAGGATCAGTCAATAAAATAAGCACTGTTTTTACCTAGATACTCATTTTCCATGGCACCTAAGCCCATTTTGGGGGAAAATTAAAGGGATTTGGGTCTTTCCCCATTTTCCCTTTGTTGCAGGACCACTGAATTGAAATAGACTCTTGCACCAAGAGTATAGAGGAAGGAATTTTATTATTGGGTGGGAACCCAGCAGGTCATGAGCCCTAAAGCACCAAGCCCCGGAGTTGTTCCCACAAAGCTCTTTTATACTATTCTAGCAACATATATACAGAGTTACCATTATGGGTGTTAGGTCATGGGACCTTTTTAGCTAGCAGGCAGACAAAGTCATGCAAAGCTAATGATTATATTTCTCGAGAACCCAGAGTGATGTTATTTGCTGCACAGTCTCTTTCAAGGGTGCTCCTGTTTATGGATCTGTTAAAGTTCCCTCTTCCCTTTGGAGGCTGAATTCTTCTGCAGCTATTCTGCTGCATTCTTAGGACCACCAGGGAGGATAAGATTTATTTTTCCTCCCTCACTGTCATCCATACTCTTGAGAATCAAATCTAAGTCCCTGCCTCTTCTTCACCTCCAGACCTGAGCTGGAGCCAGACCAATGTCACCACCTGGCCCTCCATCGGCTGTCCTGTAATGAGGCCCCCCCCAAAGGGGGTTTCCTTGCCCTGTAATGAGGCCATGGCCCTTCTTAACTCCAGGCAGCTGATCTTGAATACTTTTCAAAAGGGAGAAGAACTATAGAAAATGATAGAAATGAGTTCAGCAAGGAAAGTAGGTAAGTTTGGGTGTCAAAATATAAAATTTCCTTAAACTAATGCCTTATACATGTGAAACTTGCCCTAAATTGTGGAAATTAAACCCCAGGCAGACGTCTTATCTGATGTGTGAAATCTCCTTAGCTTGTCCACATCCTCAGGAAACATAACCAACGATGCTTAAATACTTTACTATTCATCCTTTGGGTGTGGGAGCGGCAGGGCACTCTCAGGGCACATGAGCAAATTCCACAGTTATGTGAACAGATTCGTTGAGAGTGTAAGACAGAGGGAAAAGGAAGTAAAACAAGTATAACTTCTGTTGAAAGGCAAGATTTCAGCAACGTTAGTTTTTAGATCTAATTGGCTTTTATTGTGATGCATGAATGGGACAGCATCTCCTTCTATCAACTAGACAGGCCCACCCCTGGGCATGACAGAATTGTGTACAGTGGGGACCAAGAAACAGAACGTCGATAATAGCAGATTGCTTCACATCAAGTTCCTTTAGGTTGTTTTCTCTGTGAAAGTTAAAGTCAGGGGATTTCCTTGTTATGCAAGCTCAGGTGGACTGGGCCCTTTCTGATTGCTTGCTGGGAATCTTCTCTTTCCAGAATTTGTCTGTTTGGGTTTTACCTGCTTCCTGACAGTTTCATTCTAATTACATGACACTTAGCGGGAGTGGCTTCATTTGGGGTTGGTCTGTTGAAGCCCACTGCAGGGCTCAGTCCACAACAATGGCCTCCCACACATTTACCTAATGCCACCTTCCTGGTGCTGCCCCATGTGTGACTGGTCACTCCCAAGTGCTGCCATGGTGCTGAGGCAGACCCAATACCATGTGAAGTTTAAGGTAAGAGAATAAACTTGGCTCCCGCTCTAGGACAACCTAACAGAAACACTTAGGTTCTGAGCTCGTGGCTGCTTAGAAGGAACATCAGTTTTTCCATGTATGTAACTTGTGAGTTGTAACTCCTTACGTAGGCCTCTGGCTATGAGTATGAAAATGTAACTACAGGTGAGAGTTTACTCAACCCCCTGAGTTAAAGCTGAATGTCTTCTTGGGCTCTGCATTCTTAGCATAGAAAATCTCCTGTTTAAGTAGGTCAAAAAAAAAAAAAGAAAAAGAAAAAGAAAAAAGGCTTTTGAAGTATTTCTGGCACTCTAGAAATCACATCGCTTTCACGGGACCACTCTGATCACAGGATACGTGTCCGGTGAACTTTACAATGTCAACTTATCATCACTGTTTTCAACAAAATGATTATACATTTTTTTTAGACTGGAGATAAATTATAAAATACAGAAGATAAATGAGTCATTGCTTTCTCTGAAAAAATATCCAAATATAGTTAGAAGTTTCTGTGCTTTTATGTATATTTTGTGAAAGGTAAATTATATTATCATGATTTCCGCTTTAGCCACAATCCTAAACACTTTCTGGATTCTGGGATTCCTGGGTCCCACTTCCTAGGATTAAATGCACACATATTATGGAACATGTGTCCTAACAGGGCCACAGCAATCATGGGATAAAGCACTACAGATATCTTTGTTAAGATGTTAAAATCAACCATACGCAGATAATCATGTTTCCACTTAATCATTTGTTTAAATTTTTTGTTTGTGTGTTTGGGATTCATTGAGGGTATGAAGACTAAGGGTGCACTGCATTCGTTAGGTGAAGTGTCTCTTGTAACTGTGTCACCCGTCCTCCGCCGCCCTCCTCCCCTCTTCCTGGTCCCTCATTCCCCTGCCCCCCACCTTGAATTAGGTCACCTACTGCCTTCATATTAGAATTGGGTACTTTGGATTCTTGCTTCTCCACTCTTGTAAGCTTTACTGTTTAAAATTTTAAGCATCCTAGCCTTGAATTTTGACCTTCTTTGACTTCTGCTTGCAGATTTGTTATTCAGTAAAAGACCTTGAGTATTGTCTTTAACATTGCTTTTAAGTGTCATTAACACAAAATTAGGCTGGTCAGTGTCCTGCTTGGGTAAGAGACTGCAGGGATCTTTGGCAGTAGCCTTGTGCCTCTTCATCCTGACCTTCTCACGATCATCTCATCCATCAAGCTAGCCAATTCCAAGCTAATGCAGTAAACTTCATGGGTAGTTACTATGCAGCAGAAATGTGTTAAATGGCAGGGTGCAAAGGAGAGGGAATCACAGGCTGTGTATTCAAGAAGCTGTCAGTAGAAAATGATACGTGGCTGGACTGAGTTAAGAAACCTGGCTGTGACTAGTGAATGTCCGAGTAATGGGGGAGTATCCCACACAGCAATGACTGGGTGTTCCTCAAACCCTGTCCTGATGTGGTGCGTTACCTGTCTGACATGCAAAAAGACAAAATTAAAAATTAAAAAAAAAAAGTATCTCAGGCAGTATTTCACATTTAGATACTGTGTTTCCCCGAAAATAAGACCTACCTCCAAAATAAGCTGTAGCAGGATTTCTATGCATTTGTTAAATATAAGCCCTACCCCATAATAAGACCTAGTGATTTCTGCCCAGAGCGGTAAGGAAGACTGGAATACCTTTTATCTGCCACAGCTCCTTTCTCCTAGCTGTTCACACTTGCATGTGGTAACCACGGTCACAGGCATCCTATTGCACACATGCAAACGCCTAGAGAAAGGAGTTCACGCATCACTAGCGCCAGCCCCCCCAACAAGGTCAGCTCCGCCTGTCAGGTTCCAGAAGAAGATGACCTAACTGTATTTGAATAAATGTAGATTTTTGTATTATACTTAATAAAAATAAGACATCCCCTGAAAATAAGCCCTAAGGTGTCTTCTTGAGAAAAAATAAATATAAGACAATGTCTTATTTTCGGGGAAATGGGCATAAGCTGAAAAGTGGATAGATGATGAACACTCAGTATTTCCACTTTAAAAAAATCTTGATCTTGGTTACTCGTTATGAGATGATATAACTGAAAATCCCAAATGCCAGGCTGTGCCTGCCAGGGCTTCATGGGCTCAGAGGCCGCAAGGACGCAAGGTCCTCACAACTCTTTCATCTTTTCCCGTCTGCTGGGTTTTGTTTTCCCCTGTGTTGGCTTCGTTCATTCTTAAGTAGACTAAGGACTGCTAAAAAGACAGTTTCATTATGACAGCAAGTTGGTCACCAGCCATTCAAAGCTCACTCACGCGCTGGGGGTGAGCGCACCTGCTGGGGGGCGGGGCTGGAGTTCGGATTGGCTTATCTTGGGTCACGTGCTTATTGCCCGAGGGAAATTCTCTGCTGAGTCAGCCTGGGTCGAGGGCACGCGTCTCGGGGAGCGCACAGGTCCTGGGTAGTGACAGCCCTGGGCAGGGGGAGGGTGGGGATGAGGCTGGGGTGAGGGACAGTGGGGGGGGGGCAGTTCTCAAAACAGATGCTGATAGAAGAAAGGTACCAATGCTCCTCTCTCAATGCTCCTCTCTCTGACCACCCAGAGAAAGAGCTGGGTGGGGCTGCAGTGGGGGCCAGCAGTGGCAAAACGCCTTGAAAGAATTCTTGAATACTAAGCTTAAGATAAAATTTGTTGTGGCGGAGGTAAAACATTGCATAAGGTACAAGGTGTCATTGTTACCCTGTTTCAGCGCACAGTTCAGGGGCACTGAGCGCATTCGTATCAGCACTGTCACCTCGGTCCATCTCCAGAACCCTCTTGTCGCCAACTAGAAACTCCTTACCTGTTAAACAGTGACTCCCACTCCAGTCCTCTCGGCCCCTGGAAACTGCCCTTCCAGAAACCAGCACAAGCGAGTCACTCGGCCTCTGTCCTTGCGGGTCTGGCTTCCTCCGAGTGGTCCGTTTTCCCGTACTATGCGTGCTATGGTGGGTGTCAGATTCCTTCCTCCTTAAGGCTGGATGCTATTCCACTAAAGGGGCGAACACCAAACTTTAAAACAAGCAATGGGGTATATGCCAAAGGAGAAGGGCCTGTCAGAGAAGGAGAAGCCTGTCAAGAAACAAGTTTCAAGAAGGGAACCAGCAAAGTCCCCCGTGCGGCAGAGGTCGAGCTCGGTGATGCCCAAAGAGAATGTGGGGTTCGTCGAGTGGAAAGTCACCCTGCCGTTAGCAACAGGGGTTCTAGGGGGATCGTGGAGGTGAATCCTGACTGCCTGGGGTTCAAGAGGAAACGGGAGAGGAAGAATAATGGCCTTGGCTATTAAGAAAAAGAGAAACCACAGTGGTAGCTGACAGGACCTGCAATTATAGGTGTTTTAATAGTGTTGTGGAGAAAGGAACTTGGCTGTGTTGGGATACCCAGGGGGGGAAGGGAGGAGCTGAGGGGGCGAAGGAGCAGAGCAGCTTTGCAGGGGAGGGGGCTGCAAGGCGAGCGGGCAGAAATAGAAGGACAGGGTCAATGCCCACTGGTGGGGTTTCCCAAACAAAATTGACGTCTTACCCACCATGCATGAAGAGATTCACGTCTCTCTGGGCAGCCCCTAAGTCGTGCGTTTTGCTACAGATCCGCCAGACAGTCCTGATGGGGTCACCTGTGTCATCTACGAAAACTCAGGCAGTATGACGTGCAGCTGGGACACCGGGACCCTGACCTACGTGGACACCAAGTACGTGCTGCATGTGAAGAGGTAGGTCCCCGCGCAGCATCACTGCAAGGCGCTCACCTCACCTACGTGGACACCAGGTACACACGTGGTGCAGGTGAAGGGGGGTCCCCGTGCAGTGTCACTGCAGGGCGCTCACCTACATCGACACCAGGTGCGTGGTGCAGGTGAGGGGGGTCCCCGTGCAGTGTCACTGCAGGGCACTCACCTACAACGACACCAGGTACGTGATGCAGGTGAAGGGGGGTCCCCGTGCAGCGTCACTGCAGGGCGCTCACCTACGTGGGCACCAGGTACGTGGTGCAGGTGAAGGGGGGTCCCCGCGCAGCCTCACTGCAGGGCCTGTGGCTGTGCTGGCTCCTCCTCTTTGCCTTATCTGGCCCTTGGACAGCGCTCTGGTGGATTGGGGGAGGGGTGCCGCCTTTCCTGGAGTTCAGAGTTCTTCAAGTGCTGTGAAAAAGCTCTTACAGACACAGGTGTTTAATCTAAAAATGAGTTAAGCCACAGGTGGTCAATCAAACAACGAGGCAACTGTATTGTGATTTTTCTTCAAAAGCACAGTTATGTGTCCTCTTCTTCCTTTTTGTGGGTTAGTTTATTTCTTTCTGTTAGCAATGCTGCCCTTTTACCTGCTGCTACAGAAAAAGAAATTTTTTTAAAAAATTATCTTTCATTGCCCATAGAGAAAAAAACAACACAGTGTATGTCTTAGTGCATTTAAGCTGCCATAACAAATACTGTAGATGGAGTAATTCATAAAACAGAATTTATTGCTTATAGTTCTGGGTCCGTGATCAAGGTGTCTGGGGAGGCCCTGCTCCTCCTAGACTCTGATGTCTGTGTACCCCACATGGCAGAAGGGGGTCCCTCAGACTCCTTCACAGGCATTAAACTGATTCACCAGGGTGAAGCCCTCATGACATAATGGCCTTCCACAGTCCCCGCCTCTAATACTGTTGCCCTGGGGGTTAGGTTTCAGCATTGAACTTGGGGTGAACACCCTTGTTCAGACCATTGCCAAGGGTATTCACTCAAGGTGAACGTCCAGGCTAGTCTGATTTGTTCTTACATCAAACCTGACTGATTGGGGTGAGGGAAAGATTAATGTAAAGCCATAAAAACGATTGTTTACAGTATATTATAATTTATTTATATGATTTTTAAGTAATACATTAATTTTGGAGAAGTCTAGAAAGAGAGAACTGTAGCCCAATGAGAAAGACGAGTTTTCTAGCTGTTGTGTATGGAGAAATAGTAAGTTCGCTTATTCATTCAGGCTGGAATATACGCCAGCTCAGTGTGGGCAAGAATTTTTATTTTATTCATGGCTGAATCAATTGCCCCTTGGACGAGGCCTGTAAGTCTTAATAAGTATTCGCTGAGTAAGTATTCTAGTTGATAACAAGCCGTTTCCTAGGTTCCCCTTTCACAGTCTAGTTAAGTAGTAATAATACAAAGTCAGAGGTATTTTAAGCTCCAACAGTAAACTACAGCCAGACTCTGACAAACCTCACCAGGTCCTGAACTGACAGAGGCCAGATCAATGAGATTTAATCAGACTCTGAGGAGAAGATAAAGGATTCAAAAGATTAGCATAAAAAATGAACGTTCTTCTCCTGCAAATTCAAAGCACTGTCTCCTATAAGCACAGACAAATTAGGAGAGGAAACAAACACCTATTCATCCTATAATTAATTAAAAACAAACTAATATGTTGGAAAAAAAACAGAGAAAAGAAAGTCAATTTCTTGAACTACCAAGAAGATCTTCTCTTAAGGAAAAAGTTGACTTATAATGAACGTCGTGGTTGAGGTAGCATCAGGTTGAAAGAAGGGCCTCTCAATCCTGGATTATAATTAGGGTATTTTTCACTTTGGCAGATGGGTAGAGATCAGCATTCTCGAAGTTTCACTTCCAACTCTTGTGGTTCTGTTTTCCAGTAAAATCACGTATACAGAGAAGCCTTCTGCCCCCACCCACACACGTGTTCCCCAGAGCAGAAGGGTGCTGTGCCGGTACAGGTGCAGCAGGCCACTGGGGCCTCCCGGCAGTGGGTTGGGCTTGTGAGGACTAGTTACATCCATGCTGCTTCCAGAGCTTTCTTTCTCTCTAGCTCCTTCATGGTGGCCCCCCCAGACTGGCTGCACCATTTACCTGCTCTCTTCTACCTCCTGTGCTTTGCTAGGCATGAGTAGGTGGTCATAGAAAAAAAAGACTAGGCTGGGTGTGGTGCTCACCCTATAATCCTAGCACTCTGGGAGGCCAAGGTGGGTAGATTGCCTGAGCCCAGGAGTGATACCCCATCTCTGCAAATAGAAAAACTAGCTGGGCATCATGGCAGGCGCTTGTGGTCCCAGCTACTTGGGAGGCTGAGGCAGGAGGATTACTGGAGCCCAAGAGTTTGAGGTTGCTGTGAGCTATGATGCCACAGCACTCTACCGAGGGCAACATAGTGAGACTCTGTCTCAAAAAAAAAAAGAAGGAAAGAAAAAAAGAGATTAATCAGTACTAGTAAGTGTCTACTTGCTCTTGTCTTACTACCCTTAGCAGCTTCATGTAAATGTCATTTGATCTCTGTGTGGAAATCTCGGGTAATTTCTGGCACGGTGCCTTTTGCTCCACAAGCGCTTGTTGGATTAAAATGACTGAACCGTGCCTCTGCATTCTGTTCAAGTCAACGCAGCAAATGCATCTCGTATCTTCCTGACATCACATGTTAAAGAGTCTTTAAAAATAGACACCATCTCTGTGCATGACAAGCTCATAAACATTTTAGGATGACACTGATGCTGGCATTTTCAAGCCCTGTGGAAGACCAGTGGGGCAAATGTTCTTAGATTAAATGTCCTTCTGGGCCCCTCGAAGTCAGTGCCATGCTGCCAGTCTGTAAGGCGGCCTCTTTGTGCCACGTGTTCACCACCTGTGTATTTCTGATAACCAGAAAGCGTTCTTAAATGCAATTCCGAATGCTGTTTTAAGGCTGTGTGTTAAGTTTCAGTGATTCCCCTAGGACCCAGTAAGCAGCTGACATTTTAAATCCATTTCCTGAGCGAATGTGAGCCCAAAGAGCTCAACGTGGCTGGAACAATGAAGCCCTGTTGGCTGACCGTGCTTTATACTCGTGACCTCAGCCAGGCACAGAGCTGACCAATGGACTTCAGCAGCCAAGCCACCTTCCCACTCAGCTGGGAACTGATTTCCTTACTTTTTTTTTCATTTCTGGTCTCCAATGTCATACTCTCCCCACTCTCCACTGAGGAACTACTTTCTACTCTACTGAGAAAACGGGAGTGGTGAGAAATACCACAAGCTCACAACCTTCCCCATGTGCTCACTCACTGACAGGGGGGCCCACACACTTGCTTTTGATTTCTGCTGCTATGGACAAGCTGCCTGTGCTCCAAGGTCTCCCCTCCACATCATGGGTGCCAGGTCTTAACCTCTGACTCCTGGACAATGTTGCACCAACAATTATTCTCTTCTTTCTTCTGCATCGTCACCTCATCCCCTTCTCTCTCTCTCTATTTTTAGAGACAGGGTCTTGCTCTGTCGCCCAGGCTTGCCAGGCACTATCATTGCTCACCGCAACCTCAAACTCCTGGGCTCACGTGGTCCTCCTGCCTCAGCCTCCCGAGTAGCTGAGACTACAAGGATGTGCCACTATGTACCCTGCCTGGCTGATTTTTCCTCCTTTTCTGTAGAGACAGGGTCCAGGCTGGTCTCTGAATCCCCGCTCCTGACGAATCCCACTGACTTGTCGCTCGCTTTGTTGAGTTGTTTTGTTTACCGTGCAGAAGCTTTTTAGCTGAATGTGACCCCAAGTGCCTATTTTTGCTTTAGGCACCTATGCTTTTGAGGTCTTAGACAAAAAAATCTCTGCCCAGACCTGTGTCCTGGAGCGTTTTTCCAATGCTTTTCTCTAGTGGTTTCAGGCCTCCGGTCTGTTTCGATTTGACTTTCATCTGTCATGAGAGACATGGGTCCTTCTTCTGCTGATAGTTATCAGTTTTCTTTCCATTTGTTGAAAAGACTGTCCTTTCCTCGTTGTGCGTCCTTGGTGCCTTGTGGTAAATATTTCTGGGTTCTCTATTCTGTGCCCCTGGTCTGTGTGTCTGTTTTCATGTCAGCACCCTGCAGTTTGGGTTCCTGTAGCTTTCTGGTAAATTTTAAAGTCGGGCTGTGTGTTGCCACTAGCTCTGTTCTTTTTGCTCAGGATTGCTTTGGCTATTTGTACTCTTTTGTGGTTCTGGGAAATTTTGAGGATTTTTTTTTCTATTTCAGTGATGAATGTCATTGGTATTTTGGTAGGGATTGCATCAAATCTCTTAATTACTTTGGATGGTGATTTTAATAATATGAATTCTTCCAATCCGTGAGCGTGGAATGTCTTCCCATTTTTTGGTGTGTCCTCTTTTATTTCTTCATCAGTTTTATACCTTTCCTTGTCTAGGCCTTTCCCTACTTTGGTTAGATCGATTCCTAGGTATTTTATATTTTTGTAGCTAGTGTAATTGGGATCGCTTTCTTGTTTTCTTTTTCATACTGTTTGCTGTTGCCATATATAAATGCTACTGATTTTTCTATGCTTATTTTGTATCCTGTAATGTTACTGAATTGGTTTGTCAGTTCTAACCAGTTTGGGGTGAGTCTTTAGGGTTTTCTAGGGATGTAATTTGACCTAGTGATAAGTCTTCTCGAAGCAGAAGGTGTGTGAAAGGTTTTTAGAGAGTCCCCTAAACAGGTCTCATCTCAGACTTGTGAGCATGACCCTTCCTCCCTTCCCCCACCCTATTTTGTCTGGGTCCAAAAACATGATTTAACCCCTGTATCTGCAACTTTCACACCTAGGACCTCTTACTAGCTCTATCTATACTCACTACCTATAGGATCTCCTCCAAATTTATGGTGTAAAACTCCCCAATTTGTGTGCCACTGTTCAAACACCTGAGCTGCTGCAGCCCCCACACGTCTGACCTCCTCCCCTGTCTCCTAGAGTGTCTCCAGGTGAACCTTTTCAAGGCCAG